AAATTCTACATGGATTTCAATGCCCATAGTGACCCTCAGGCTTCATGTATATAGGAATGTGGACTGATATGCTCAGGTTTAAACCAGAAAGAATGACATCAGGAAGGCCAGCATGATCATTGCCACTTCTGGATCTGCAAGAAACTCCATATTTTTACTTCAGATTTTTCTTCTCTATTAATGTCTGTATCCCTCTGTGTATGTGATACAGCCCTGGGATATGAAGAGAAAAAAGACTATATCCATCCACCCAGCTATGTCCTCTAAGAACAACCAAATCTTATTGCAAAAGCCAGGAATAGAAAATTCATTCCAGATCAAATAACAGATCAAGAATTTTATTAGCATGTTGTTAGGATGGAGAAGTAACTGATAATAGGATTGAAGTAGAAGGATTTCCCTACTTCAGTTATGTGAGTTACCAGATCAAGCTGAATGCATGAAGAATTTATGGGTTTTATTTATTTTCACAGTTTTTCTGAAATGTGGATTCTGAGCTCATCAACATTCTTTCACTCTACTGAATGGAAATGAAAACTAATGTCCATGTTTAAAATCATGACATTAAAGAGTTAGAAGGCAACACTAGTTCATCCATTTACGTTAAATAGGTAAAATTCATACACATTAATATAAATTGCCTAGACTGCACAGATAACTAGCACAATAGTCATATGAATGCTTGTTGTACTTCTCCTAGGTTTAGAAAACATTATTTATAGCATATTATGATTTGATAAAAGTGAGTAGCAAATGAAAAAGTGATATATATATACACCGCCATAACATTTAACATGTTCGAACTGTTTGATATAAGAAGAAAAGTATAATTGAACTGTAAAATTACATATTTACACTATCTGAAGAACATAGATATTGACAGCTAATGGATTCAAAAGCTATATGGCTTTTTAAATTATTGATTTTTAAAAAAGATTTTGTTTTGTTCTCATTACAGATTGCCACCCAACAATGGAAAAGAATCAAACAGCAGTGATTGAATTTTATTTTGTGGGCTTGACAGACCATTTTCCAGACAAGATGATACTCTTCTTAATATTTCTCTTTGTGTATCTTGTGACATTGGGGGGAAACTTGGGGATGGTTGCCCTTATCTGGACAGATTCCCGACTCCACACACCCATGTACTTTTTCCTCAGCCACTTGTCCCTTGTGGATGCCAGCTGCTCTTCTTCTGATGCTCCAAAGATGTTGTCTGACATCTTTCTGGAGAGAAAAGTCATCTCCTTTATGGGCTGTGCTGTACAGATGTGGTTTATTGGTCAATTTGAAGTTACTGAGTGTTTCCTCCTGGCCGCCATGGCCTGTGATCGCTATATAGCCATCTGCAACCCTCTGTTGTACCCAGTCATCATGTCCCAGCAGGTCTGTGTGCAGTTGGTGGCAGCTCCTTATGCCATGGGGATTTTAAATGCCATTATTCAAGAGACCTTCACTTTTTGCTTACCTTTCTGTGGTCCAAATGTGGTCAACCACTTCTTCTGTGACATTCTCCCTGTTCTCTCCCTGGCATGTACCGACACCCAGAGCAATAGATTGGTTCTTTTCATCATGGCTGGAGCTATTGTGTTGTTCAGTGGCATGATCATCACCATCTCTTATGTGTTCATCCTGACGGCCATCCTGAAAATCCGGACTGCTAATGGGAGACAGAAAGCTTTCTCCACTTGTTCTTCTCATCTGACAACCATCTGCATCATGTATGGGACTCTTTTCTATGTCTATGTTCTTCCTGAGTCAGGTTCCTCCCTAGATATCAATAAAGTGATTTCTCTATTTTATACTGTGGTCATCCCCATGCTGAACCCCCTAATCTACAGTGTGAGGAACAAGGAGGTAAAAAGTGCATTCTGGAGCAAGTTTGAAAGAAAAATGCAGTAATAGGATTTAGTAATGGGTGGTAATTAGCGAGTTAGAACATTCCTCAGTAATTATTGTTTCAAATATTCCTTTGCTTCCTTTCTTTCCCCTTTCTTCTTACAGTTCCATTTTGCACTTGTTACACCATTGGCAGCTGTCCCACAGTACTTATGTAGTAGGTAGTCAGATAGGCATGAGCAGAGCGGACAATAGGCCAAATATGGAATGTCACCAGGGCAAAGTCCTGCAGTGGGTACCCAGCAATGGGAAGAAATGCGAGAGCATGTACTAGAAATAAGTATTGCTAATAAGGACTTCACTCCTAAGGTACCGTTTCATTTCAAGTCACTAGGGTTTGATCCTCCATCTGACCTTTATCTGGTGGCATGTAGCTAGCTATGTAGTAAAACCTGTATTCCATCCTCCATTAGAGAAGAACAAGAGGTCTGGATAAAAGCCTTATCTGAATTTCATTCAAGGTCAGGAGAAGACCAGACAGGCCTCAATAGGTCAACTCTAAGAAGAAAGCAGTGAACCTCATCCAAGGGTTTCAAAGGAGCCCTGGCCCACACAATGGGGAAATATTTTGAGCCACCACTCGAAACTTTCTTTCAAGTATAGTTTTGCTTTGTTGCTGAATAAACTTTTTCTTACAAGTTTGAGTCTTGGCTCAGAATTTTTTTTTTTAAGACACAACTCAAGTACCAGGGTCTACTTTTGTCTTTTATGCTTAGACTAGAGGCCTGGTGCATGGGATTCATGCATTGGTGGGGGGCGTGGCCTGAAGGGATTGGCTGGGTGTGGGAGCGCCACTCATCCTGGTCAGTCAGGCAGCACTCTGACTGTAGGAGCACACTGACCACCAGGGGTCAGCTCCTGTGTTGAGTGTCTGTCCCCTGGTGGTCAGTGCACATCACAGCATCTGGTCGACCGGTCGTTCTGGTCATTCCACTGTTCACTGGGCTTTTATTATACAGGATATTCTGATCTTTTTGTTTCCACTCTTTGTTCTCTATATTTTTCATTTATTGAAGTTTCTATTGATATATCCTTAAGCACACTGATTGTATTCCTCAGTCATGTCCAGTCTACTAATAAGCCAATTGAAGGCATTTTTCATTTCTATTTATAATTTTGATCTTAAGGATTTTAATTATAATTGATAAAAATTCATGGCCTGGGAACTAGAAATCAAAGAGAACCAAGATGGAGGCATAGATAAATGCCTGTACTTTCTGCCTCCCACAACCACATCAAAATTACAACTAAAATACAGAACAACCATCATCCAGAACCAATGAAATGCTGGCTGAGTGGAAGTACTATAACAAGAGAAGTAAAGAAAAGAGCACACTGAGACTGGTAGAAGGTGCAGAGGTGCAGAATGGGCTGGTCCAGCACCCAGGTGTGCTGTGTTTTTTGTTTTTTTGTTTTTTTTTTATCTGGAGGGAGATTGCCTCTGCAGAGGACACTTAGAGAAGCAAGGAGTTTGAGGCCCACACCAGAACCCCAGGCCAGGGTTCCAGAGCTGGGGAAAGAAGTCCCTATGGGCAGTAAGAACTATGGATTGTAAAAACCAGTGCTGATTGGGGCTGAGTGACACAGACTGCTGGAGACCCAGCTGTTCCTCTTAAAAGTCAGGCACCACAAACTGAATTTACAAGCTCCCACTTCCTCTGAGCTCTAGTGCTGGGAGAGGCTCTGGGGAACCCAGACACATATGGAGAGAAACTGGACTGTCTGGTATCAGGGCAGGAACTCATGGCCGTTTTCTTCCAGATAGAGGTGCTCACAGTGGTCATTGTTCCTATGCTGGGACCTACCTGATGCAGGGCTGACTGGCAGCCATTTCTATTTGCTCCATCATGGTGATTCCCTGAGATCCCACCAAACCCAATTTACAACCCCACAAGTGGCTTTTCCATATGAATGGTCTGTCCTGTCTCAGGCTAAAACTCTGTCAAACAAGCTGCAGCTGGGCCAGGGAGCCCCAAACCTATCAATAAAAGGCCCAGGGCCAGGCACTAGCACCAGCCTGCCTTGCTTCACAGCTGGGCCTCATCTGGGCACTTCCAAACCCGAGCAATTAAGAGGAATTTGCAGATTTTTCTGTAGCTCCTGCTGGATAGCCTTAGGCAGTGGCTGACTTTGCACCTCCCTAGAGACCCAAAATCCAGGGTACCATATTAGTTTTTATCTTTCCTGTCTTACGTGCTCTCCTCCCATAGATGTCCACAAACTCTGCAGTAGGAGGTGCAGGTGCTGGGATTTCAATGCCCGTGGTGACTTTCAGGCTTCATGTGTATAGGAATATGGATTGAGACACTCAGAATTAAAATAGAAAGAACAAAACCAGGAACACCAGCATGACTTTTGATACTTTGTAGCTGCTTCCGAGTCTGCAAGAAATGTCAGATTTTTAACACATTCTTTTCTTCTCTATTAAGGTCTCTTTCCCTCTATGTGTGTTGCATACAATGACAAATAGTTTTTATTAGCAAAAAGTAATTGATAATAGGAGTGAAGTAGGACTTTTCCATTTCAGTTAGGAGAGTTACTAGGTCAAGTTGAATGCATGCAAGCTTTGTGCATTTTATTCATTTTTAGAGTTTTTCTGACATGTGAATTCAGAACTGATCAGTACCCTTCCACTCAACTGAGAGGAAATGGAAACTAATGCCAATGTTTAAAACCATGACATTAAAGAGATGGAAGGCAATAGCAGATCATCCATATAAATTAAATAAATAAGTAAAATCCATAGACATTAAGTATAGAGTGTCCAGGTTGCACAAATAACTAACAAAATAGCCATACATGGAACCTAGGCATTTGACTAATTCCATGAATGCTTGTTGTACTTTGCAGGTTATTTATATCATAGTATGACTTGATGAAAGTGAGTAGCAAATGCAAGGGTATTATATACACATCTCCATAACTCTACATATTTGAACTATTTGGTATAAAAAAAAAGTATAATTGAGCTGTAAAATTAAATATACTATCTAAAGAACATAGATATTAATGGCAGCTAATGAATTCAAAGCCTTTGTTAATTATTGATCTATAAAAAAGGGTGTTTTTTCCCCCCTCTCATTCCCGATTACTACCCAACAATGGATGATAAGAATCAAACAGCAGTGACTGAACTTCATTTTGTGGGCTTAACAGATAATTTTCCACAGAAGATGATTCTCTTCTTGATCTTCCTGCTTGTGTATCTTGTGACATCGGGAGCGAACTTGGGGATGGTTGCCCTTATCTGGACAGATTCCCGACTCGACACACCCATGTACTTTTTCCTCAGCCACTTGTCCCTTGTGGATGCCAGCTGCTCTTCTTCTGATGCTCCAAAGATGTTGTCTGACATCTTTCCGGCGATAAAAGTCATCTCCTTCATGGGCTGTGCTGTACAGATGTGGTTTATTGGTCAATTTGCCATTACTGAGTGTTTCCTCCTGGCTACCATGGTCTGTGATCGGTATATATTGTAGCCATCTGCAACCCTCTGTTGTACCCAGTCATCATGTCCCAGCAGGTCTGTGTGCAGTTGGTGGCAGCTCCTTATGCCATGGGGATTTTAAATGCCATTATTCAAGAGACCTTCACTTTTTGCTTACCTTTCTGTGGTCCAAATGTGGTCAACCACTTCTTCTGTGACATTCTCCCTGTTCTCTCCCTGGCATGTGCCGACACCCAGAACAATAGGTTGGTTCTTTTCATCATGGCTGGAACTATTGTGTTGTTCAGTGGCATGATCATCACCATCTCTTATGTGTTCATCCTGACGGCCATCCTGAAAATCCGGACTGCTAATGGGAGACAGAAAGCTTTCTCCACTTGTTCTTCTCACCTGATAGCCATCTGCATCTTGTGTGGGACTCTTTTCTCTGTCTATGTTCTTCCTGAGTCAGGCTCCTCCCTAGATATCAATAAAGTGATTTCTCTATTTTATACTGTGGTCATCCCCATGCTGAACCCCCTCATCGATAGTGTGAGGACCAAGGAGGTGAAAAGTGTATTCTGGAGCAAGTTTGAAAGAAAAATAGAATAATGCGATTCAGTAATGGATGGTAATTTAGAGGATTAGAAAATTTTTGCCCATTACCAGGTTACTTGTATACTAAAGTACTATTTATATTGCTTTCACATCAGTCTTCTCCTTTGTGAAATGATGCAGAATAAAAAAGAAAATGTAATTTATGCCAGAAGAAAATCCAGAACTTTTATATATTCTTACATGTGGGAAGATATTTTATTCCAGACCAGAAAAGTAAATGTTATAAGGGAAAGATCAACAAAGTTCATTAAGAAATGTTTCATAGACCTTACTAAATGTTGAACAATAGAAAGTTAGAGAGCAGTTGTAACACAAGTGACTCACAATGAGTTAATGTCTCAATAGGAAAGTTTGGAATCCTATATAATAAAAGACTAATATGTACATTGACCTAATGGAGGAACAACCAGTGGCTATGATATGCACTGACTACCAGGAGGCATACACTCAATGCAGGAGCTGCCACCTGGTGGTCAGTGTGTTCCCACAGATGGAGTGCCGCTCAACCAGAAGCTGGGCTCATGGCAGGCAAACACAGCAGCCGTGGTGGGAGCCTCTCCCACCATTACAGCAGTCAGACTTCCCCTGAAGGCTCCCAGACTGTGAGAGGGCACAAGCTGGGCTGAGGCCCTTCGCCATAAGTGCACAAATTTTGTGCACTGGGACTCCAGTATATATATGAAACACAATAGTAAAATGAAATACAGTTGAGAAATAAACCAAGAAATGAATGGTTATTTGATACAATTGGAAATACAAATGGTTTTAAGTTTAATATATAATATATAGTTATATTATATATTAAATGTATTATATATTAATATATAATATGTAATTATATTATATATTAAAATGTTATATAACTCAACTTCACAATTGCTTGAGTAAATGAAATAAAAATGATAAGGCAATGCTGTTCTCTCCCTCTCCCCATCTGTTAGATTGGCAAACATGAATATGATTACATTCAAGACTTAGTAAGGTTACCATTTGGATATAAACTACAATTTTATTCATATCTAGTGTAACTAGGTGTAACTAGCTACATTTCTATAACACAATTTGTAATTTGATGATTTATATTAAAATGCACATTATCTTTGACTTATCTGCCTTAAATTTGACAATCTATACCATGAAAATATTAATATCAGCATATTTTGTAGAGTAAATAGAAGGAAACAACCTGAACCTACATTATTAGGAGAAACACACATTCTTTCATGCAATGTTGTGCAGCTAATTATAAAAAGAATGTTAGATGTTTATGCTTTGTTTTGGAGGGAACTCTCTGGAGATAATCATAGAATTCTGCTTTACTTTTTCCAAGATTAGAAAGGTGACTGTGCTCAGAGGTTGGAGAATCTGGTTCTTTTTTATTAATCCACTTATTGGGCTCATATGAGATTTCAAATGAGTTAGTGCTCTCATAGCACCTTGAAAAATAAGCATCTCCAGTGGTAAGATTAATGTCCTGTGGCAACATTTATATGAATAGATGTCATCTGCTTTCTAAAATACTTTGAGTCATTCTTGTTTACAGAAATAAATAAAAACTTCTTTGTATAATATTAAAATACTTATGAAATTTGAGCCCAAGTTATTTTTCCCCTTTTCTATTTGAAATTTGGAGGCAGCCAATGTGGATTATTTTGTCTCTCAAAGAATTTGTCTGAATTTAGAGCTCTCCATTGCTTCATAGACACCCTTATTTTTCTAGTCGACCTTATTTTTATTTAAATTTATCTTAATTTCCATTTGAGATTCATCTTGTCCCAGACCCTATTTACAACCCCCCTGGTTATAATGATTCAACCTTTCCAGTAGCTTATGAGCCAGTCAGAGGGTATTCAGTACTTTTGTGTACCCAGTTACCTATAATTATATTATTAAATATAATAATTTATATAATAAATATAAATTATTATATTTAATTCTTTGATCCTTCCTCTTTGGAGCAGGACTTTATTTTATTTTAAAAAATATATTTGTAATGATTGCAGAGAGGAAGGGAGAGGGAGAGAGAGATGGAAACATCAATGATGAGAGGGAATCATTGGTTAGCTGCCTCCTCCATGTCCCTCACTAGGGAAAAAGCCCACAACCAGGGAATGTGCCCCGACTGGTAATTGAACCAGTGATCTTGGTTTCTGGGTTGATGCTCAACTGCTGAACCACACCTGGCTGGGCTGCAGAGCTCTGTTTTAGATTCTCAAATCTACACATTGCTCATTATGCAGCAACTAAAGGCTCAACACTGGAATTTCAAAGTATGTGTATGTATGTGTGTATGTGTGGGGGTGGTCTCAAAGGAGGATACAGTTTTGTTTTGTGCAATTACACTTGACTCAAAGTCCCCAAATTATTTTCTCATTAAATACTTTAAGATTTTCTCTCTAAGATTGATCCCTTGAGCTTCCAGCTCCTTGAGGGACTTAGCTCCAATTCACATACAGTCCTTTAGAAAAACCCTGTTGTATGTTCAGAATGGAGTCAATGAACACTTTTTTAAAGTGCTGTTGGAAGGCCCAGGTTTCAAGATGGTATTATTGTATTGTTTATCTTCCTAGACACCTGAAGAAACTGAGAAGAATGACAAGTCTACATTTGCAGGGTAATTCATTTTAATATCATAAAATATTAATTTTGTCATTCACTTTGACAAAAGCAGGCAAAGTCCAGGGCATGTTTCTTCAGACAGGTGAGTGAAGTGATTTCCTATATTGTCTTTAGGAGGCTAAATATGAAAAATAAATTTAGAAGCCCAAGAAAACATAATCTCTGAGCCTACCAAGAAGGAAATGTTAGTATAAATAGAATAGTTAGTCTGTGTCATTTGATTTAAATGACTTTACTTGAATGTATATTTTGGTTGAATTTTGCCTTTGACATAAACATACTAAAATGTGTTGCAAGATTTATGGGCTCATTGAATGTTATTATTAAAAATATTTGACTTATCTGGGTCTTAATTTTTTTCACCAAGATTGGTTATTATAAGTAGGAAATAAACCTATCAATCAGCTGACTTGAATTCTCTGCTGCTCATTTCCAGAGTCACATGCATACCTATAATCATGATTTTTAAAAAAAATATTAGACTCTTTGGATTGGGTAAGATTAGGAAAAATAAAGCAGTATACATTTTGACAGCCAGAAATGATTGGTTTCACACAATAGTTTGAGTTGATTGAGACCATGGATGAGTATACTCTAGTTTCATCCTCATTATGTTTTTAATAACCTAAATTTATTGTGACACTCAAAATGTTTTGCTTCTATCTTCCATGAGTCATGAATAAAATATAAAGTTTTGATGTTTAGAAAATTTTGAATTCTTGAAACATTTCACTATTAAAGTATAGTTTCTGACAATACACTTTACCCCATCGAAGCTGTTTCTTTCTAAGCTCCATTGCCTGAGACCACAGCAGGTCAGCAAATTTTTATTTAATTAATTTTTTTTTTGTTAACCAAAGTCATTTCAAGCTTTCTTGGAAGATAATATTGTTAGATTTCTGTCAATAGTTCTGCTGCTGAACACCCTGCTCATATTTTGTGTGATTATGCTGTTGGAATAGTTAGTTATTTCAAGGTCCAAAATGTATGCCTCCATTCCTCAATTTTCCTTTTTTGTACTATTGTCAGTTTCTCTTTTTTCACATCACATCTATTTTTTCTCACAATTTTATTTTTATTTTTAATAAATACAAATTTCTGGGTCCCTTGTACTCTTCACTCAGTTTTCCCCAACAATTGTACAACATGAAAATAAGAAATTGACATCAATATGATATATGTTTATAGCTCTATATAATTTTATTATGTGTGTAGAGTTGTAATATCACCACCACATTCAAGATATAATTTCATCTCCACAGAGATCTCCCTTGTGCTACTCTGTTATAGTCACACCACTACCCTCTTTCCCACCATTCCTAATCCCAAGGCAACAAATAATCTGTTTTCCATTTCTACAATTTATATATATAATGAAAAGCATCACAGGGAGATATGGTTGATAACTTTTATCATTTTCCAAAGCCAACTTTTTTTTGTGTTCCATTTTTAGACACTAGAAATTATGTTTTTGACAACACAACTGATAATTTTTCTAGAATCTAAACAAATTGATGAGGAAGCTATATTCCTAACACCTGTGAGAGTATTAGTCTTAATTAATCAAAGTCACACAATACTTTTTTCCTATGAAATATTTTTAAGATAACCTTGGTTCAAAGTCAGGGATTTTTAGAAATATAACCTCATACATTTAGAGGTTATCTAAGTTTATCTTAGATAATCTCCAAAGATCACTTCTAGGTCTAAAATTTTATAATTCTCTTCCAAAATCCTGTTTTGATCAAGAAGAAAACTGAGGAGTCCTGTGAAATTCAGTGACTTAGTATCACACAAATAGTTGGAAGGTATGACAAACACTAGGGTAGAACATGAGTATTATTTGTCAATGTAATTTATGAAATGTAGAAAAATAGAAGTTAAATTCAGATTAAAAAATGAGAAGTCCTCAATTACCAAATGATTGTAAAGAAAAAAATTTCTATTTCTTTATTCCAGATTAAGTCAGAGAAATGGATGATGAAAATCAGACTTTGGTGATCGAGTTTTTTTTCATGGGCTTAACCAATCATTTCCAGCACCAGGTTGTACTCTTTGTGATATTTCTCTTGGTTTATCTTGTCACTTTTCTGGGAAACTTGGGGATGATCACACTCATTTGGATAGACTCCCGACTCCACACCCCTATGTACTTTTTTCTCAGCCACTTATCCTTTGTGGACGTGTGCTCCTCTTCTATCATTAGTCCCAAGATGTTGACTGACATCTTTGCGGAGACAAAAGTAATCTCTTTCTTTGGTTGTGCTGCCCAGTTATGGTTTTTTTGTCAGTTTTTAGTGACTGAGTGTTTCCTCCTGGCTTCCATGGCATATGATCGATACGTGGCTATTTGTAAACCCTTGTTGTATACACTCATTATGTCCCAGCAGGTCTGTGTG